AGGTACTATACTGTATTTCCCAGAATATAAGGGCCTTGCCACTAGGTCTATTCTCATTTCTGTGGGTGAAACAGGGCTTTTCAGCAGAATTCTTCAGAGCCTGTCATACTTCCCAGGAGAACTCCAAACTAGCATATGCCTGCCCCAGGCCTCCATGAGGGAGGGACTTTAATAAGTTCAATGCCCTTTCTTCAGTGCCTTAGTACAGGGACTGGCACATAGTGTACTTAATCAGTATTGGATGGATAGACGGATGAATGGAAGGATGAATGATTTAGCCTCTAGGATTTGTCCAATAATGCATACTTAATTGAAAGACTTTCCCAGTGAGCTAGATATTAGGCCAGTGGTTCTAAACCTTGGCTGCACTAATCACCAGGAGAGTTTTTGTTTTAACACTGATGTCTGGGTTCTACCCATGCTTATGCCCTGTTATTTTCTAAAAGCTCCCCCAAGTGATTTTATTTTTTTCTTTTTTTAAAAGATTTTATTTATTTGTTTGAGAGAGAGTGAGCAAGAGAGAGAGCACTAGCGGGAGCAGAGGGAGAGGTACAAGCAGACTACCCCCTGAGCAGGGAGCCCGATGTGGGGCTTGATCCCAGGACCCTGGGATCATGACCTGAGCTGAAGGCAGACACTTAACCAACTGAGCCACCCCAAGTGATTTTAATAGGCAGCCACGGTTGGGATCCAACGTGCTAGACCATTCTAAAAGTATGTATCCTGTGCATAATTTATCATTCTCAGTTATCAGTTTATATATCTTTTCCTCAGTTGACTTAATGCTCCTTGAACTCAGTCCTGGGACTATCTTATTCATAATTATCTACCTGATGCCTGGCACAGTGCTTGGTATATAGTGGACAATCATAAATGTTAATTGAATAAATTGGTTGTTTCTTCCCTTTAGGGTACAAAAAGATTGCATAGTGTCACATAAGAGAAAAACTGCTAGCAAGCACCATGAGTTTTGTTTGGGTAATGTATGTGTGTTGGTAGGGGAGGGTTCTGACCATCAATACTTTGGTACCTATATGCTTGCCCATAATCCACTGTTGTTTCCTATTCACTGTCATTTATCCAGATGCTGTGAACTGACAGCAGTTAAAGATATTAGACTTTGTCAGAGACTACCAATGTGAAATATTTCATCCCATTATTCCCATCTGTACCTATGTCCTAAAATTCATCACTGTATATATGAGGATAGTTCATAACTGTGATATTCAGCACAATTGTCCCCATTAATAAAAGCCATAGAAGCCTCTAGACAAAGACACACAGGTTGCCACACCAATCAATTTTCTCAACTCCAAAATCTATTAATTGAGGGACAGAACTGGAAAGATATTTAAAGACATTGTATTCATTCATCTTTATTAAACAGTGAAGAAGCTGAAGCTACGTGGGTTTAAGACTTGCCTGAGATGACGCAGCTTGTGAGGAACACAGCTAATGCAAGAAACCTGGTGCCCTGGTCCTCAGGCCTGGGCCACTACATGGTACTCATAGCACCTTGGATTACATTAGAATCAAAGGTCAGGATAAATTCCTAGACACACCCAGTCTTCCAAGACTGAATCAAGAAGAAATATAAAATCTGAGCAGACCAGTTACTAATAATGAAATTGAATCAGTAATGAAAAAACTCCCAAAAAAATGAAAGTCCAGTACCAGATGGCTATATCAGTAAATTCTACCAAACACTAAAGAAGCGTTAACACCGATCCTTCTCCAACTAGTCCCAAAAAATTGAAGAGAAGGAACACTTCCAAATGCACTCTATGAGGCCAGCATTACCCTAATACCGAAACCAAAGACATTCTAAAAAAAAAAAAGTACAGGCCAATATTGCTGATGAACATCCACACAAATATCCTCAACAAAATATTGGCAAACCAAATTCAATAATACATTGAAAGTATCATATGCAGTGATCAAGTGGGATTTATTCCAGAAACGCAAGGATGGTTCAATATCCACAAAATCAATCAACTTGATATACCACATTAACAGAAAGGATAAAAATTGTATCTCAATAGATGCAGAAAAAGCATGACAAAATTATTAAACATCTACTTATGATAAAAACACAGCAAAGTGGGTATAGAGGGAACATACCTCAACATCATAAAGGCCATATATGACAAACCGACAACTAACAATGGTGAAAAGCTAAAATCTTTTCCTCTAAGATCAGGCACAAGACAAAGATGCCCACTCTCACCACTTTTATTCAACATAGTATTGGAAGTCCTAGCTACAACAGTCATTTAAGAAAAAGAAATAGGAGGCATCCAAATTGGAGAAGAGTAAGTAAAACTGTGACTATTTGCAAATAACATGACACTATATATGGAAACCCCTAACGACTCCACTAAAAAACTATTTGAACTAATAAATGAATTCAGTACTGTTGCAGGATACAAAATTAATATACAGAAATCTCTTGGATTTTTATACACTAATAAAACTATCAGAAAGAAATGAGGAAAACAATTGCACTTAAAACTGCATCAAGGAGAATAAAATACCTAGGAATAAATTTAACTGAGGAAATGAAAGACCTATACACTGAAAACTGTAAAACACTGATAAAAGAAATTGAAGATGACACAAATAAATGGAAAGACATACCATGGACTGGAAGAATTAATATTGTTAAAATGTCCGTACTATCCAACTCTACTAGCTCTGATCTACAGATTCAGCGGAATCCCTATGAACATACTAATGGTGTTTTTCACAACATTAGAACAAATAATCCTAAAATTTGTATGGAACTACGAAAGACCCTGAAGAGCCAAAGCAATCTAGAGAAGGAAGAAAAAGCTGAAGGTATCACGCCCTGATATCCCACTATCCTACAAAGCTATTGTAATCAGAATACTATGGCAGTGGCACAAAAACAGACACATTAATTAATGGAACAGACTAGAAAAATCCAGAAATAAACCCATGCTTCTTTGTTCAATTAATGTTCAACAAAGGAGGCAAGAACATACAATGGTGTTGGGAATACTGGACAACTATAAATGGTGTTGGGAAAACTGGACAACTACATGCAAAAGAATGAAACTGGACCATTTTCTTTTATCAAATACAAAATAGATTCAAAATAGAGTAAAGACTTTTAAATTTAAGACCTGAAACCGTGGGACTCCTAGAAGGAAACATAGGCAATAGGTTCTTAGACATTGGTCTTAGCAATATTTCTTTGGATCCGTCTCCTCAGGCAAGGGCAACAAAAGCAAAAAAAAAACAAACAAACAAACAAAAAAAACCCAAATGGGACTACATTAGACTAAAAAGCTTTTGCACAGTGAAGAAAACCATCAACAAAATGGAAAGGTAACCTACTGAATGAGAAAATATATTTGCAAATGACATAACTGATAAAGGGTTAATATCCAAAATATATAAAGAACTCACAATTCAATATAAAAAATAAACCAATTTTAAAAATAGGCAAAGGATCTGAAGACACTTCTCCAAAGAGGGCCAACAGACACATGAAAAGATGCTCAACATCACTAATCATCAGGGAAATGTAAATCAAAACCACAATGAGATATCACTCACACTTGTCAGAATGGTTAGTATCAAAAAGACAAGTAAGAGGGGCGCCTAGGTGGCTCGGTTGTGGGTGGCTCAGTCGTTAAGCATCTGCCTTCAGCTCAGGTCATGATCCCAGGATTCTGGGATCAAGCCCCACATCGGGCTCCCTCTTCCGCGGGAAGCCTGCTTCACCCTCTCTCACTCTCCCTGCTTGTGTTCCCTCTCTCGCTGTGTCTCTCTCTGTCAAATATAAATAAATAAAATCTTTAAAAAAAAAAAAAAAAAGACAAGAAATGTTGGTGAGGATGTGGGGAAAAGGGAATGTAATTTGCTGTAGTCACCATGGAAAATAGTATGGGGGTTCCTCAAAAAATTAAAAATAAAACTAAAAATATACAATCAAGCAACTCCACTTCTGGGTATTTATCCACAGAAAAAAACTAATTTGAGGGCGCCTGGGTGGCTCAGTTGGTTGGGCGACTGCCTTCGGCTCAGGTCATGATCCTGGAGTGCCAGGATCGAGTCCCACATTGGGTTCCCTACTCGGCAGAGAGTCTGCTTCTCCCTCTGACCTTCCCCCCTCTCATGCTCTCTCTCTCAAATAAATAAATAAAATCTTAAAAAAAAACTAATTTGAAAAGAATATGCGCCCTTATATTCATTGCAGCATTATTTACAATAGCCAAGATAGGAAAGCAATCTAAATGTCTATCGGTAGATGAGTGGATAAAGAAGAGGTAGTATATACATATAATGGAGTATTACCCAGCCATAAAAAAGAATGAAACTTTGCCATTTGCAACAACATGGATGGACCTAGAGGGTATAATACAAAGTGAAATAAGACAGAGAAAGACAAATACCATATGATTTCACTTATATGTGGAATCTAAAAAAACAAAATAAAACAGAAACAGACTCGTAGATACAGAGAATAATAGGGTGCTTGACAGAGGGGAGTGGCATGGGGTGAGGGATAATAGAGGGGAAGGAGATTAAAAGATACAAACTTATAAAATAAGCAGTTGATACAGTGTACAACACAGGGAATGTAGTTAATAATATGGAACAACTTTGTATGATGATAGATGGTAGAGTTATCATGGTGATCATAATGTATATAACTGCTCACTTTGTTGAATGCTTGAAACTAACAGAATATTGTATGTCAACTACACTTCAATTTAAGAAAAAAAACAGAGCATCACTCCTTTTTGTCCTGAAATAAACTCATTTAGGAATAAAAAAAAAAGGCAAAGATCAAACTTTTACTTCCATCTTAGTACTGTGTTAAGAAAAGGGGTGTTGTTAGATTTCTCAGAGAATGCTGGGAGGAAGACTATCAGTGGAAAGGGAAGAAGGCAAAGGAAAGGGATCTTGAAAGACAAAACTTGTTTTGTGGCAGCACCACAGTTCATTTGTGTTTCTGTCCTTGTTTTCAGGATTTTCCCCAGAGAATACCTCCTTCAACAGATCCACCTATATTCCCTCGCTGATCTGCAGCAGGTGAGCGCTCAGAAGGGCCATTTCATTTCTACTTTCTCACTGGGAAAGTGTCTTAGTTGATTATGGTCTAGCACTGAATTCTGCCATCATTGGGGTAATTTCTTCACAAGCCCTGATAATCAATTTCTACTCAGAATGGGGGGAAAACCTTACTATAAAAAGATGGTGCGGGACAATAAGAAATGTTGGCAAGGATATGTCGAGAAACTAGAGCTCTCATACTTTATTGGTGGGAATGTAAAGTGGTACAGCCACTTTGGAAAACAGTTTGGTGTTCCCTCAAAATGCTAAACAGTTACCATATGAACCAGCAGTTAGATCCTCTCCTGGAATATACCCAAGAGAATTGTAAACTGTGTCCACATAAAACTTGTACACAAATGTGCAGAGCAGCATTCCTCCTAATAGCCAAAGAGTAGAAGTAACCCACTGTTCATCAACTGATGAACAGATAAACAAAATTTTGTATAACAAGACAATGGAATATTTTTGGCCATAAAAAGGAGCAAAGTACTGATACATGCTACAACATGAATGAGTCTTGAAAACATCATGCCGAAAGAAGCCAGACAAAATGTATATTTTATGATTCTGTTAAATGAAATGTCCAAAATAGGCAAACCCAGAGAGACAGAAAATAGATGAGCAGTTATCAGCACCTGGGGAGAGCAAGGGAATGAGGAGTGACTGCTAATGGCCCAGAGTTTCCTTTGGGGCTGATGAAAATGTTCTGGAATTATATGGTGGTGATGGTTGCACAACTCTGAATATACCAAACCCCACTGAATTGTATACTTTAGAAGAGTGCATTTTATGGTATGTGCATTATATCTCAATAAAAAAATTGTACAAGGAAAAAAGATTTAAAAGGCAATGACTCTAGGAAACTCTTTGACTTGGGCTTAAGTCAAACAGTTGGAGGACTTTAAAGTTTAATAAAACATAAGAGAACATATAAGAGTCAAAATCATCTTTTAAAACTTTTATTAGTGCTTGTCCTTTTACTGATTGACCAGGTTAGCAACCAAGAAGAAAACCAACATCTTGTCTGTTCAACCCAAAGTTCTGAATATGTTAAGCTTTGGTTAATAATTTAAATCAACAACTCACTCCCTCAGAAGCTTTTAGACACTAAATGAAAGCAGTACTTTCCATATATCTATTCTTTCAAGAGTCAAAAAAATGATTGTGACAACTTTCAGAGTATCTCATACTGCTCTGATTCTGTTCATTTGTTGTTGTTTTCCTCATGGGTTGTTTTGCCCAGGGAAATGAGGTCAACTTAAAAATTGTTCAGATCCTTCAGTCATTTTGCAAGAATTTAAACTACTCTAAGTGTTGTTTTTTAACTTAAGACTTGCGTTTTCTTTGTACACCCTGAGGGAGGAAAATTATTTTAAATGGTAGAAGTGGTTTTAGAACATTTAGTTGGAAACGTCTGAGAGAATGGTAGTGTTTTAATTTTCTCGTGTGCGTCAAGTTTAATGTATTTCTCACATCAACTCCTTCTACTTCTTCAGTCCTGCACATCCTTTACTACATAATCAAGCAGCAATGATCTGCTGGCTGGGGTAGGAAAAGGTATATTTTTAATTACTATTGCCTAGTGGCATGCAAGGAGAAGAATCGATTAAAATACCCATCATGCACTTACCTATTTTCTAGGACTCTACCTGATCATAGTATCTGAGAATCCGCTTGAGAAGTATGTTTAAAGGCATGGACGTAGTCTTGTAAGGGTGGTTTAAAATAGAATGGGTGGTGTCCAAAGTGAGTACTCTTTGAGGAAGCCTTTCTTTCTTTTTTTTTTTTTTTAAAGACTTTATTTATTTATTTGAGAGAGAGAGAATGAGAGACAGAGAGCATGAGAGGGAAGAGGGTCAGAGGGAGAAGCAGACTCCCTGCTGAGCAGGGAGCCCGATGTGGGACTCGATCCCGGGACTCCAGGATCATGACCTGGGCCGAAGGCAGTTGCTTAACCAACTGAGCCACCCAGGCGCCCTCCTGAGGAAGCCTTTCAAAAATGAGTTTTGATACCAGATGAAGAGAAAGAATCAGAGAAATTCCATATGCATTTTAGGGTGTCAAAGTAGTGTATCCATTTGGCATGATAAATCCTCCTTTTTAAAGCTTTCCTATGCCTTGCGGGCTTTTATCCCCCCTTGTAATAACCAAACCACGTATGCCGCGCAGCTCACTTAAGTCAGTGACAGCAGTATCCCTGGTGGGCCAGACCATTAGCCTCTGGAGCCCCATAAGCAGCTTAATCAGTTTTCAGCCTCAGTAGTAAAGTGATAGAGGCAGTCAGCAGCTCATCAAACTCCCTGGTGGGGGTGGGGAGATCGGCTAGAGCTCTGTGCATCCACTTAATATGCAACAGCTCACTCTAACCTGGTTCTTTGTGCCTGGTTTTAAGGTCCCCAAACTTATCATATTTAGAGGAAGTTTAATTCAATTACTTTTCCTGCCTGAGGTGGTTTAAATTGAATTTAGCTTTTGATCTGTCCGCATCTAGGCTATCAGTACTGAAGGGCCCCTCCACCCCATTTTCCCTTGGCTTCTGAGTAAATTTCAGGCATGTTTTCTGAACCTGACCTGTTCTTGTGAATACGTAAGAGAAGGGAACACAAGGGGAAAAACATATACTATTGCTCTGTGACAGAGTGTGTCCGTGACAGCAGGCAATCCAACCTAACTGATGGAGCCAGTAGCCAGCCCCATGTTGTCCTGTACCATTTTGGCCTATCTGGCTACTTGGTTGTCCGGTTTCATGTCAGCTTCAGTAGTTTTAGAGTAAGTTATTTCCCCCCATTTCATTACCCTTCACACTCCTAAAATAAAGGTCTCCATAAAAGCAGATCACATAAAATAACTATAGAAAAGTGAATTTCAGTTTATTAATTTTGGAGGGGAGTGGAAGATAAGCTAATGCAAGTAACCGAAGAGTTAGAGAGCTTGAATAATGATAATATAAATATCCTTTCTAACGACATTGATTGCTTTCTACAAATTCCGCTTCAGTGAATTTGATTTTTCCCATTGGCATGTGTTAAAAAAAAAAAAATGTGGACATTTTCCTCTCCAAAAATCAAAAAAGGTGAGAATACACATTGGTAAAAGGGGACTTATAATTTAACTATATATAATCTTAAAATAATGTAGTACACAAAACACTAATACCTAAGATAAAGATGTTAGAAGAAGTCTGATACCAAGAAAATTGCTCCCTTCTTCTATCTGTTTTCATTTTTATAAGTAACAATCCCAAATTTCAATTCAACAATTTGGCCAAAGATTTCAAGCTACCTTAATGCTTCTGATGTAACATTCAAGACCATTTTCTCCCCACTTCTCATTATTTGAATTTACTGGCCTCTTTGCAGGTGTTCTCCTTTGCTCCCGTACACTTGGATGTGAGGAAACAAATAGCAGGACGCACACTGCTTAGCAAAAGGAACTCCCTCCAGTTGTTCTGGGAGCTGTAGTTGCCTGCCCACTAGCCAATGAGTGCCAGTTATTGACAAAATTTGTAGCTGATGCTGGTGCTGAGTCCCTAATTGTCTGTTTATTTCACCAGTCATTAAGTTGCTCACTGGGTTTTACTAGCACCTCCTAAAGGTAGTAGTTGAACAACACAGTCATTACCTGTCATCAGCTGGCAGCATTATAACATGTAACACCTAAGACAGAACCAAGTACTCCTCCTGCCTTGTAGCAGGTCCAAGGAGGCAAAAGATGGGAGCAGAGACTCTCCAAATCCTAGGAGCTCCGAGGGGCACTGACTTGAGCCTGTCATTTCTTCAAGTTTAGAATTTCAGGTGAATTTCTGTTCAGCATAGTAGAACTTACTATGCTGTTAGAAAAACTTACCCAATCCATGCTCTTTGAATATGAATCTAACATAATATACAGCTGATTTTTTACAAAATAAAATCATATAAGCAGAAACTTTCTGGAGGTGTGAATGCAGCGTTTTGTTTTTTAACTGACAGAGCAGTTCTTTCCAAAGGATTTGGCAGACAAGGACTAAGCATCTGTGAATGAATGGACAGTACTGAGGCATGTTTGAATGGGGAAATGGAGGCACTGCTTTTTAAAAGCTTTCTCCTCCTTTGATACTCCAAGAGGGGGAAGTAGAATAGAATTCGTGTCTTGTTATTTTCTGTCTATCCAGCATTGTCACAAATCCATGGGAAGGCTTTAAGATAGGAATACAATAAAAAGATAAGCCCCGACAGTAGGAACAATACCATAACTCTAAATGCATTAGCTTTCTGTATTAGCTCTCTTCTTTTCCTGCAAAGTATGTGACAAACCATCTCCTTATTTACATCGCTGATGAGAAAATTCCACACTGTACCAGTAGAATACCTTAGCATATGTAAGTTAATGTTCAAGAGATCATAGTTGCTCTTAAGGAGCAAATCAGAACCCTGGTTTAATAGCTCATTCCTCAGACTGTGTAAGTGATAGGAGAATTATTCTCAAGTTCCTTCTACTTACTGAAAGGAAAGGCCAGATTTAAATTCTAAGTTTTGGCTACCTGTGCTTTTGTGACAAAACCTGAAATGTGTATTAATGACTAAATCTTCTGGTGTTACTCACCTTTGGGGCATATGTTAGCTAAGCACTGAAAGATTCCATTTGTACGTGATTCATGAGAAAGGATACTGGATGATCCCATGGGTGAGGCAGCTGCTTAGAGTAGCCCCTCCTAGCCACCCCCTCCACCGCCTACCACCTACCTCCCAACATACACACCCATCTTGTGGGACAATCACCTCCCCTGGGCCCTAAATTTCCAAACTAGACCCTACCTTCAGATTAAGGCAATTTAGATTCCAGGGAATACAAAACATTACCTGAGAAGAATAAATTATTTTGGCACAAATTCTTTTGTCTTCTTAATAAGTTAAAAGCACAGGATGGTATTCAGGGGAGATATATTTCAACAGACATGATGATGAAAGAAGATGGAACAGTCTGGAACTTGGAGTACT